GCTGGTGAGCTTGAACTGCCAACCTTGCAGTTCAAACGGCTTTGCAGTCTGGCGCATTAACCCACAGCGCCACACCAGGTCTCTAGCAATGGTTTGGGGGATGGCAAAGACCAGGCAGTGTTATAGGGCCAGCCGGAGCCAACTTGAAGGCACTGAACAGCAACAATCTTAAATGAAGCAGTCTGCCACATCCTCTTCCGAAGAGCAGCTAGTGGGTTTGAACCGCCAACCTTTTGGCTAGTGATCAAGACTTAACTGTGTGAGCCACTCAGGGCACCTTTACTTCTGTGCATAGAGGGAGGGATCCCCAGTCTCCTTCCCAATTGCACTTGGACTTGTTGGGCTGGGATATTCCTCTATGGGTCATTCAAAGTCATTCTAATTCCCTCACCTCACCTTCCCCATCTGCCACTCCTTCCCCTCTTCACACCCTCTGGGAACCTGTCTTCTCATCTTTGGGAATAGTTTGTGTGTGTCCCTCCAGCCTCCTAGCCTTTGCTCCTGCTGTGGACCCCTCTGTTCCCATTCTTCAATGATGGATGCTTTCTTACTCTTCTGTGCTTTGAGTGAAGATCTGGTTGCACACAGACACATTCTTCCCACCAACTCTGGCTGCATTTCTTCCCCCACCCCCCTACCCCCCACCGCTGCCGTCCAGGTCCACAGCTCTTTGTGGTAACCCCTCGCAGGTGTGCACATCCTCACTGAGAGGACTCGGAGTCTCTAGTGTCTCCTGGCACTGAGCTTGGTCGAGTGGAGACTCGAGAAATGGGTGCTAAGTGAACGAACGAGGGAATGAAAAAAAGGAACTTATGAGTGCATGCAAGGACAGCAGGCGTTTGTCGTGGACTCCTGGGGGTGGAGGGGTCACTGTGGATCAGCACTGGACTGCTAGCCAAAGGTCAGCAGTTCAAACCCACAGGGTCCCTGTAAGCCAGAACCTCTTGTCAGCATTTAACAACATCACAGGCAAGATGGAGCTTGAAATGCTCTTTTGGACGATGAATGTGACACGGTTGCTCTTGAATTTGTTCCTGGTGTAGTAAACCACAGACTCCTGTGTGGCGCTGTAGGATCAGCAGTGGACTTTGAATCACAAGGTTGGCAGTTCAAACCCACCAGCTGCTCCTTAGAAACCCTATACAGGGTCACTACGAGTC